GGTCAAGAGCAATCGGCCGTCGTCTTCTGGTGGAAGCGACCTTCGAATCTCTTCACCCAACACTTCCACTCGAAATGGAAGTAAGCTCAACAGTTCTAATGCAAGTCAGATCAGATGACAAATGGAAGCTCATAGGGTTTTTAGAGCTCTGTTTTGGAGCGAGTTTTTTACTTCTTGCATACTCTCGAAGTTAGCAGTCATGTCTTGGACTACTCTTACTATCACTACTCATCGTTATTATTTATCATGCATCGTAGTGCTAAAGGTGGGGCTAGGACTGGAAAAGGCAGTCTTATGGGGAATGTGTGAATGCATACTTGTCAGTAGTATGTAGATTAATGCGTAAATTGGGTCTTTTCTCGTCTCTGCCGCCTGGTCAGCTTGCGCGGAACATCAACGAGCGCAAGCGCGCCCATGAGCTGACCCAACAACTGACGCAAGTGGTCGGTGCCACCACCGTGGCAAGTTGGGGCCAGTTGGTGCTCCGTGGTCAATTCCAGCTTCCAGGTCGTCGCGAGACTCAGCGCCATGTTCTTCTCTTCAATCACGCCATTCTGCTCTGCAAATTCCGCAGAACGCTCTTCTGCGGTGGAGACGGCGGTCTCGCAGACTTGTCCGTCGATTTGGCCGCCGAAGGTGTCGAAACCGCCAGCGCCGGCGGTAAATTCGGTGTCGGTAGGTTCACAAGCAGCGCGATGAACGGTGGGGCCGGAGACGGCGGCGGTACGGCTCATCTCGGCCTCGAGAGGCGGGAGCCAGAGCGATCGTCGTCAGGCGATTACAACAGACCCGGTCAACTGTTGATCGAAATTAGAGAGATCATCAATGTAAGTGCCAATCTCTTCACCTCTAATAGACTAGCCACTTAGTGACTAAACTCTATCCTCCCTATACACACACATACGTGCATAAATACACACCAAACACACATACATGCACATACTTTACATGCATGTACGCATATATATATGTGTTTTTTGTATTTATTTATGCATATATATATATATATATATATATATATATGTATGTATGTATGTATGTATGTATGTATGTATGTATGTAT